TCCCTGAAACATGTGGTTTGTTCTCTCTCTCTCTCCCCCCCCCCCCTCTCTCTCTCTCTCTCTCTGTCTCTCTCTCTAGATGGATGAGGAGAGCAGGGAGCAGGAAAAAGGGGAGACCACAAAGTAAGCTCATAGCCCAAAGGGAGAGATCATTTGTAGCTCAGGTGGGATATGAGTCCGCGGATGGCGTTAAATAGCAGCAGTATGCCCTTCGGACAGAATACGAGGATAAGGTTAATGCACGCAATTCAATCGTTGTTTTTTTTGCAAATTTCCTACTGGGATCAGTGCACGCGGGCGCTATTTAATCCTGTGGTTAGGTTCAGGGTTATGCACACGACATGACCGTGGTTTATTTTTGACCCGCCGTCGCACGTACAGCCGAGGCGAACAAAACGTAGGGAAATAATGAAGTTCTCGAGCAGTTGTGGAAAGAAAATGCTTTCAAAGGCTTTAAATCATTCTATTCCGAAGAATACGACGATACCATTTCCACTATGACACCGTCCTCAACAGCTCGGGTGTTGTGAAGATCTGATAGGCAGTCAGAGCTGTTTTTGAGGGTAAGTTTGAGTCAAGTCACAAGTCATTCAATACAAGTCTCAAAGCTGGGATATTGCAAGTCTCAAGTCAAGTCCTATCGGACAGGTTTACGTAGCATCACAAGTCATTTAAGACTACTTCAAGTCAAGTCTCAAGTCTTGTAATGGCAAGTCCTAAGGAGTTAAAGACAAGTCCAATTCAGGATTTAAGTCTTGCAATACCAAGTCACAAGTCCTTAAGTACAAGTATGAAATAATTTGAGACAAGTCAGATGAAGTCTTGTTCCAATCAAGTCTCATGTTTTGTTATAGCAGTCTCAAGTCATTTGAGACACGCCCAAGTCAGGTCTTATTTCTGAAGTCTAAGTCAAGTCACAAGTCAGTCAAGAGAGGACCGAGTCAAGTCATTCAGAGCAAACCCAAGTTAAGTCAGGTCCAAGTTGAGTCCTCATTCTTGTGACATGCATTTGCCTCAAGTCTCCAGCTCTGAAAGCGATGATGTGAATCATATCATATCAGCAGGTTTTGCCTGGAGAAGTTATTGAAATACTTCGCTTGTTGCTCATCAGCAAAACAATCTAAGTTTGATTCCTCATGGATTATTTTTTTGACTATGTGAGGACGGTAAATGCATCCAGCAGATACAGTAGACTCCCTGGATAGGCCGAAATACAGATTACTAGAGTTACTAATCATCTGGACGATCCGGTTGTGTCAAATCTGCTACAGCGCTCAGAGCAATCCTGGTCTCCCTGTTTGATTTTGGCCACATGTGAGTCCGCCTGCCTGGTGCTGTAAACCTGTCATTGTTCTGGGTCAGCTCCCCGAAGATGTCCTGAAGGCCTCACACACAAACGCGCGCACTCCTCCTCCTCCTCCACCTCCTCCTCCTCCTCCTCCTCCTCGGTGGGGATCGGGCCAACAGGGGACAGCCTGCGTCCCGTCAAGGCGTCCAAAATTCCATGACTTTCCCCCGAATTCCTATCCGGAGCCAAGTCATATATTCTGTTGTCATCCCCAAGGCCCTAATGACAACCCACGAGGAACACAGAGGCACACCGTCTTCACTTCACACACACACACAATGAAATTACACACCGAATATGACGCGTCACTGTGCATGCTAAACAGCCATTAAAGCCGTTTCCTTCTATGCAGCTGCTGTTATGCCGTAGGATACAGGTTTGACTTATTGAATTAATGTGCAAACCACTAATAACAGGATGCAGTTCGTCGGGCTGCATGAAAATAGCAGGGTATTTGGAGTATTTTCAACACTGTGAATCATCCGGCCCACTGGTACATTGAGCCCAACTAAAACCAGACTCAGTGTATCACATTAGATCATAATATTACAGATTTTTTATTTATTTTTGTATCAATCTTTACTGTGTAGCCTGCTGTTTAACAGCTCTGTGAAATTGCATACCTTCTGTGTCGTTCACTACGATATATAATTCTTAAATGCCGTCTTGGGGTTAAACTGTTTATTTTCACACAGTCCCCCAGACTGAAGCGCCGTGCCAGGAAATATGAATGAAAACTGGCCCACCGAGTGTATAACAAAAAAAAAAAGATGCTGTTTAAAAGAGGCCTTCATGTTTTTTTAATGTAAGCGATGGCTTTGATAGGCCGCAGACTTGTTTTCACGAATGAACGTGTCGAGTATTAAGGTGCCTTACAAATCACTCTTCCTCGTTCGCTGCTCCGCTCTTTTCGTAGCTTCTCCGAGAGGTTTCGGAAGAGCAGAGTGATTGCTTGCAGCTCTGGCCCTCTTTGTCAGTAACCTTGCCTAAATCAACAACCGGGCCCTGCTATTTTAGTGCATGAGAAGAAAAAAACAAAATTAAGATTATAATGGGACTGTAAAACGGAAACCTGCCGTATAACGTGATTGACCGTCGCTGTGTGTGTGTGTGTGTGTGTGTCTGTGTGTGTGTGTGTGTGGTTTAGCAGGACTCCGTTAATCAAACGGTCCACGAGTTAAATGTAATTGTGGTTTCAACATTTCGGTTCCATATAATCAGTGGAACATGGGACGACACGTTAAGGGAGGAAAAGACGGTCTGCCAGATTTGTTCCGTCCATAACAAAGATTTTCCTCTACATTGAGAAAAAGGACGGGGGGGAAAATAATAGCTTATTTTTCCAACCTTAAACTCCGACTAATTGCTTAAACATTTCCTCTACTGATCCATATGAGGACATTAGCCGAGCGACAGGCTTTTGGCACCCTCTGAAGCCACATTTGAGAGTTTCCTACCCCATTCTGAGGTGTTGCTTAATCCCATTCGCTGGCTGCATGAAGAGCTGTGAAGAAAGAAGACCCCATTGAGTTTAACCATAAACACAATGGAGACCACGTGTTTTGTGTGTCTCTAAAGGGTCTGTTTTGTAATTATTTACTTTATATAGCTGCATCTCTTTCTACTGGACACATTTTCTACATGTGATGAACTGTGCAACAGATAGAAGTGTGTGTGTGTATAAGTGATTGAGTAATGCAGAGTCCTCCCAACATTCATCTTTTCCATTCGGCCTGTGATCTGCGCTCTAATTGCGAAGTGATCTCAGCAAAATGCTAATTGTCCACAGCCGCGCTAGCTGCTCTGTGAGGCCGTACTTGGCACGGCGGTGCTTTGAGCTAAATGCTAATGTCAAAATCGCTAACGTGTCGATGAAGCAGGTGTACTGTTTTCCATCCCTCATTTAGGTCAGCGTGTTAGCATGCTAACGTCTGCTAATGAGCAGAAAACGTAAAGTACTGAGGCGGATGGGGATTGTCATCGTATTCGCAGGTATTTGGTATGAAAGAAATATCGGACAAATGAAACATTTGACGTGAATACGGTGCGGGATGAAAAGGTGAGGCATCACTACAGTTTGTACAAAATTTCATGGCAATCCAAGCTAAAATCATGTTAGCATGCTAACCCCCTCCAAAAAAAGAAAGGAATGCTCAGCACCAGTAACGTGTCAGTTAAATAAATAAATAAAAAGAATTGTGCTAAATACTCTTAATACCTCTTAATCACTGGATGAATGTTTATAATGAGCTCAGCAAAAAACAGATGTTTTCACACATTTCTGGGTGGCCAAGCAGCGATACAGACGGTTTCATCATTGCATCATCCGCCCTTCATCCATCGAGCCTTTATGCACACGGCTTTCGACTGAACTGCGATGCCTTCACGACTGGGCAGTGGAGATACAGACCTAAAACAAACCCCATAATTATCTATTTGTGGTCCTGCTTCAGGCAAATATGAACATAATACAAAAGCACGCAAACACACACGATGTTTGGAGTTCCAGGAAGTTCCACAACCACAGTTTAGTCCCCAGGGGATGCTGCGTTCCTCTTAGCGAGGAACTTCTTCGCCTCCTTTCCTGAATGACACACACACGCACACACTGAACGCACTAAATGTAACTCCAGCTCGCTCCCGACCACACTGTCACTGGGGCACTTTGCCTCACCTTCCTGCTGCGAGCCTGGCCGAAGCCCTTTTTTTTTTTGTTTTTTTTCCTTCCTTTAGACATTGCTTCAGACTTGTGCTATCTGTTTCCACAGCCGTGCGCCTGCTGACCCAAGAATGTGGACAGCACTCCGGTACATTGTTTTACAAGGCTGAGCAGCAGTGTTTGAGATGTGAAATGTAGACTCTTGCTAGTTATGTGGGAGAAAACCCGACTGTGAGTGTGTGTGTGTGTGTGTGTGTGAGTGCACTCTGAATTTGTTTTAAAGTCGCAATCTGCGATATTCTTGTTGTATATAAATTGCATGTATACTGTATATGTGGATATTTGTCCACTTTCTTGGAACGTGCACATATTGATGTTGGAGTCCTTTTTATTTGCTATGAATTAGCTCTCTATGGACTGTTTTTAATGTTCATGTTTACTTCCATTGCTTTGAATCATCTGTACATTTAACTACTTTTCATCCAGCTCCGAAAAGTCAAGCCAACGCGGAAGGGTCTTAAACTTGCATTCTTTCTACTGGCCAGCAGGGGGCGACTCCTCTGGTTGCTAAAAAGACCTCCGATTGTATAGAAGTCTATGGGAAAATGACTACTTCTCTCTTGATTTACTACCTCAGTAAACATTGTAAACATGAGTTTTAGGTCTCAATTGCTAGTTTCAAGTCTTCATCAATACAGCAGGATGTTCATTTCGTAAATCATGGTCCCATTTAGAGTGAAATAGACGATTAAAGCAGAGGGCGGGGCTACCTTGTTATTTACAGTGTGGTTCCAAAAAACCAAGATGGCAACAGCCAAAATGCCCTGCGTGACGTCACAGTGACTCCGTCCACTTCTTATATACAGTCTACGCTTTCATATACATTTTTTACATGCGAGCATGGACCTAATTAATTAATTAATTGTGTATTTGCAGATAAGAACATTTAAAAAAAGAACAAGAAGTCCTCCCTAACGGTAGCACTTCAAACTCATTCCCTTCAACTAGACATGAATGCCGCCGTGTCGTCGAGAGGCCCTTCAGAGCTCTCCAGAGTTCTTGTTTTTGTTCACTTGTTACTTTCTGGTCCTGTTTTACACACTTGACTCGAGCGAGGCGTTCGCTCCGCTGATATTTTATACAACCCCACCCTCCCCCCCCGAATGCTCCCGGCTGTTACTCCAACCCCCGTGGCCTGTCTGTCAACCCTTGTTCCCATGGCAATTAGTTAGGAAAACCGTGGCCAATTATCTGCCACTCTGGAAAACACACGCCTGACAAACCGCTCGGAGCGACTGTGTGCCACCGTCTCAATAGCTGGGGCAGATTTGTGTGATGGGTTAATAGTGGGAGAGTAAAAAGTGCTGTGGGGGCCACATTGTTGAGTTCATGTTGGTTTATAGTGCGCTCTGACCCTATTGAAAGTTTTATAGTGATGGGTGTCTATCTACATATTCCGCTGAATGGGACACAAAAAAAGGAGGACGAGGCAACACAGAGCCATTAAAAAAATAACCCGGTGCAGACTCGAGGCCCTGCTTCTTCTGAATGGACAGACGTAAGAATCACGTTTGAAATGAAATGTCACAGCGATTCAAAAACACTGATTCATGGCCCAAGCGAGACGAAGGACATGCTGCACGACCTGTTACATACTTTGCCAGGCGAAGTTAACAGAGATCGAGTGTCTCTCTCTGTCTCTCTCTCTCTCTATTCTGTGTGTAGGTGACGCGTCCCCTCAAGAATGTGGTTCTCTTCCTCTCGCCGTTAGCTTCAATTTCCCCTCTGGTCGCTTACTTCACTCGCGCAGCCCGAGAAGCTGTCGCTTGAGGAATCTGGAAAACACCATCGGGGAATGAGAGGAATTTCTGCTTTTTAACCCCCCTCCCCTCCCTCTCACCCCTTGCTCTCTTTACTTTGGACGCCTCTGTACAGCCGGGCTCTTGAGTTTTCTCTTGTTTCTGATTGCAGCCCAACAATAACAACCTCTCATAAACAATGGGGCTTGTTGATTGGGGGGTTGAGAAGGAGAGTGGCCGCTGCTGGCCCGCGCAGTCGTTTTTTTTTTTTTTTTTTCTGCGAGCGGTAGGCCTCACGAAATGGTCCCAAACGTCTGAAAGTACAGGCTACATCAGGGGGACTGCGAAAGATTTATGGGCAACTTTTTAAAAAACGCACCGTCTCTGAAGGACCATAAACACATGCTTTAGCCCTCTCTTAATCTATGTTTCCTCCAAAGAGGACTTTGATGAACCAAACGCTGAAAAAAAGGGGGGGGATGCTGGTCAATGTCAGGAAACCACAAAAGTACAGGGGGGAGAAAAAAAAAATGGTAGTTTTGGTATTCTCTGCTTTTTGCAGCACCCATGGACTCGTAAAGGGAGTCTGGATCGCATCGAGTAGGACTTTTAAACACGACGACCACGGAGCTCTGCCCTCTCCTTTCAGCCTATGGGCGAAACACAGCTGGAGTCACATGCCGTTTAAACAGTTAAACCATGTGTCTGTGACACAGAAATGATAATACAGAGTGATGTGTCCTGGAAGAACCGTGTCTCTACTATTTCCATTTTCGGAAAAATGATACTGGACATTACTGTACATTGTCCCTCATCTGCTGAACCGCTTTTTTTCAGACTCTTATGTGAACTAAATCAAAATCAAATGTCAAAAGAGATTCTGGTGAAGAGGACGGGTAAACAGAACCGCTGTATTTTATTATGATTTTCCACAGGCTGCATACCAGAGCAAGGCTTTTTTTTTTTTTTTTTTGGAAATGGAGAAGTTTTTCCAAAATATCTAAAGATGGACAAACAAAACATTACATGGCTCAGTGCCTTTTGTGGTGACAGATAGGCACGGAGCTCCCCCTAGTGGACAAAGGAGATCCAGCAGCACATTTGGGTAGAAAGCGAAACTTGTGCTTCTTGTCTCACGTCCACTGATTGTTTGTCTGTCATCAGAATACATTACACATTAACGCAAAAGTGCTTTAGTCATAAGAGCTTTAAACTTTATTCATAGGATTTAAGGAATCACTTACAACCCAAAGCACATTCTGGGAAGCATTCACTCACGCGCACACCAAGCACTCATCAAGCAGGCGCTGTCTGTTCAAAGTCTTCATCAGCATCAGTGGATTTATCGAAGGGTTAGCCGCCACTGGTTGTCATTTGCCTGAAGTCTTGAATGGATCAGACCACACCTGCACACCTTTGGACAAAAGAATAAAATATAACAAAATTAACAGCGTCAGCATGCGTGTAACTGCAACATCACACCACGGTTAAGGCACTGGAATACACATACAACTCCTCTTACTGCGCTTGTTTCAACAGAATGTGCAATCAAATCTAATTTCCATTCACCAAACATCTATTCACACACACTTAAAGTACTAGCTGACTGTCAAAATGATCCGGATATTGTAAACTCGATGAATCTAAGTAGAACGAACAAGAGAAGTTGGCAAGTACTGCACTGGACAAAAATAAACAAAGGAAATAGCTGAAATGATTAGTCTCCTAATCAACTAGTCGCTCGACAGAAAAATGATGGCAAACTAATGTGATTTATCGTTGAAATATTTTCTCATGCAAAAATGGCAGCTTTTCGCGGTTATTTTTTATCATAATAAACTGAATATCTTTGTGTTTTGAATAGACAAAACAAGACATTTAAGGGCATCACCTTGGACTCTGAGGAACTGGGATGGACCTTTTTCACTACTGACCAACGATTAATCTAGAAAATAATCCATGGATTGATCAACTATAAAAAAAATACTCCTTAGTTGCAGCCCGAAAAGGAAACAGAACTTCATCAAGCCGGTCCATCTGTGTCTGATATATGCATGAGAAGTCTTTCTACAACAGTCTACACAACCTCCGTCAGGTATATGTTACACCTGTTGTGTAGACTAAAAACACCACACATTGATCTACCATGTGTCCTCACCTACGGGTTGGATATCTGCCTGGTTGACTCCTGTGCGGTTCACCTTTTGGACATCTCCTAGCAACGAAAGAATAGTACAGAGTCATGAACAAGATTGTCACATTGTATCTTTATTGTTCTCCTTTGTCTGCACTGGATTGAGTTTAGTCTTAGTGTCCTGACTCTAGCTTTCCATCATAGCTAGCCAGAACTGGCTCAGACTAAAAAAAAAAAAAAAAGACAAAGACATACAGTGAAACCACAACTATGTAGCTGAATGAATTTTCCTGGCACCACTCTGTCTTTGTCTCGATTGGTTTACTTGTTTATGGTTTTGGAAAAGAGGAGAGGAAACCTCAGGGTGTCTTTTAAACTCTGCACAGAACATAAAACCCACAGTTCACTATGAATAAATTAATGAGAAAAGACTGACACGGTACAAAAGACAGGTTAGCTAACAAACTAGCTAATGTTACCTAAAACAAGCAGTCTGTCTGCTTGTGTAACTGGACGTGTAGGAGAGCCGTCAGCCACTTACTGTACTCTTCTTTGTGCGTGAGCGGGTAGAAGAATATGGGGTAAAACGCCGCAGCGACAGCCGTAATAAAGCCTCCAAATACCAACGCTATTCTCTGATTTTTTGACATTTTTAATGTTGGACTGGGTGCTACACTTTCACCTCCAAGTGCTCGCAGTGTTTACATATAGTATTTCCGGTGTGAAGGTCACCAACACGCGAGCGTTGATAAAAAGCGGCGTCAAGCTAGTTTGGTCCTTTTGAGGTTCCGTAGCACAGCGAGTCACATGCTGCAGCACAACAATAATAAGGAAGTCTGGGTGAAGATTTAAGATATGAGAAGAAGTTTTTTTTAGCCTTCGGAGTTTTTTTACTCTACTTTCACCTGCTAGAAAGATGAGAAATTTAGCCGTTGTTGTGTTTTTTCTTTGTTGCTGTTACACAGCAGGAGAAAACAAGCCAATTCAAACATTTGTAATTCCTCACAGCCACATGGATGTTGGCTGGGTGTACACTATTCAGGTACGTTTCTGTCACCAAACTCTTCACACGGTGTTAAACTTGACAAGCATATAGTGCACACAGCCTACTGTTGAACTATTTCCTTTAACTAAACCACTAATATCCACATATTGAGGATGAATATGTGTATTTTTCATTTCACATAATATATATGCGAGTGTGTATTTCCCACAGGAGAGTATGCACGCCTATGCAGCCAATGTGTACACCAGTGTGACCGAGGAGCTGTCGAAGGCCGCAGACCGCAGGTTCATCGCTGTGGAGCAGGAGTTCTTTCGACTGTGGTGGGACACTGTGGCCACAGACGCGCATAAGACACAAGTGAGGACACGTGATGTGTCCATACTCTGTACCGACATGAAATAATGCAAGACAGTCTTGATAAACCACCTGCAAGCTAAATTCTCTTAAAGGGACACTCTCATATTGCGCTCATAATTCATAAAGTTTGGGGACTTGCAAGAAATGTGACAAGAGTGCATCAGAGGTTGAGATATCCTGGTTTTAGTACATAACATTTTATGGCTTGCTTTGCTTTATAGGTACGTCAGCTCGTTAAAGAGGGTCGACTTGAGTTCATCATCGGGGGCCAAGTGATGCACGACGAGGCTGTAACTGATCTTGATGACGAGATACTACAAATGACAGGTAGTGCGCCGTGTTTGCCTGCGCCTGTAAATGTCAGTTTGAGAGAAGAAGATACGTAGAAACCTTTGTTTTTTTTCTGTCTCAGAGGGACACGGTTTCCTCTACGAGACGTTCGGGGTGCGTCCTCAGTTTTCCTGGCACGTGGATCCATTTGGAGCTTCTGCGACCACACCGGTCCTCTTTGCCCTGGCCGGCTTCAACGCCCACCTCGTCTCCCGCATTGACTATGACCTTAAAGACAGCATGCAGAAAAACAAGGTACGAGTTGATGCTACTGCCGCCAGTGAAGGGAATACTCTTAGAAATTCACAAATTGTACACGCTTCACCGCAGTACACATTTAAAACTGAAAGAGCACATTCCTTTTAAACACTATCACCAGAAAAGTAGATTGGCATTATTAAACTAACCTTAAAATGGAACTAAATAGTCACAGCCTGTTGTTTTATCTGTTTTATTTTTGTACAGAAACTTCAGTTTGTATGGAGAGGTTCTCCGTCTCTAAAAGAGAAGCAGCAGATCTTCACTCACACTATGGACCAGTTCAGCTACTGCACCCCATCTCACCTGCCGTTCTCCAACAGGTAGTCCATGATTCGACTCTTTATTGGTAACAGACAGACGTGTCTTCAACTCTTGACTTACTCAGTTTTAATTTTTACCATAATTCTATATCCATATTTATAAAAATTGTATTTTTGAATAGACAAACATGTTCTTTCGTCTTAGCTCTGGTTTCTATTGGAATGGAGTTGCGTTGTTCCCCGATCCCCCTAAGAACGGAGTTTACCCCAACATGAGCCTGCCCGTCACCAAGGACACAGTCCAGGCCTATGCCAAGACGATGGTGGAGAACATCAAGCAGAGGGCCGCCTGGTTTAGGACGAACCATGTGCTCTGGCCATGGGTGAGTACAGGCACTGGTGGCTCTTTTTTTAGAAATATTACAATTATTTACTAGTAGATGAACATGTAACTGAAATACCCTGCACTGTCCTTGTGTTTCAGGGCTGTGACAAACAGTTCTACAACTCATCTGTCCAGTTCAACAACATGGATCCTCTCATGAAGTACATCAACCAGAACAGCAAAGAGTTTGGGGTGACAGTCCAGTATGCCACTGTTGGTGAATACTTCCAAGCCATCCACCAGTCAGATCTTGTCTGGGAGCCTCGTGGGAGCGAAGATTTTCTACCATATTCCACTGGTAAGAATTTAAACTCTAAAATATGATATAAAGTGCTGCCTGCTTCACATGAAAGGACAAAAAGAAAGAATATTCTTGTGGATATTATCTACTGCGGCTTATTTATTTCCTAGAACCGCACCAGGCGTGGACGGGCTTTTACGCCTCAAGAAATGTTCTGAAAGGAGTGGCGCGCCAGGCCAGCTCCCAGCTGCACGCAGCCGAGACTCTCTTCACCCGGTACCGAGTCAGCTTCCCCGACGGACCTGTGACTAAAGACTGGGCCCTGGATAAACTGAAGGCTCTTCGCTGGGCTGTCTCAGAGGTAACTCGTCAAAAATATATGACTCCTTTTAACAGAAAAATAAAGCAAATCGCGTCTGTTCGTGGTCAAATAGATGATAAAAATGTGTGTTTTAGGTGCAGCACCACGATGGCATCACCGGCACCGAGTCTCCCAAGGTGGCCGACATGTACCTGCGGCATCTCGTGCAGGCCACGATGGGAGTGGATGAGCTTCTGGCCGCACTCATCCTGCTGCCCCACAACCTCGGATTACCCAGCATGCTCGGCAGCCGCTACCACAAAAAAGGTGTGAACATTTTGCAAGGGGACTGCGGCTTACATTGGCCTGCTACAACTTGTGCTTTAAGCTCAGTGCTAGCACATAGCATGAAGAGTAGTTTGGGCCATTATTTAAAATAAACAAGTCCTTCGTCTCCTCATCCCAGGTATTCATCAGCCTTTGGAGCAACATGTCATCGTTTACAACCCGTTAGCATGGAACATCACCACCATCGTCAACGTCACCGTATCCTTCCCCACTGCAGCCGTCTTTGATGACGACGGACAACCAGTGCCTGCACAGGTTGTTTATTTTATTGTTTTCTTTAAAGAAAAACTGGCCGTAACAAATGTTTAAATGTGGTCTGAACTATGTAACTTTTGCTGAACTTTGCTGGTTACATGCGGCAGTTACAGGATAATGATTAATCACAGCGTAGCAGTAGCAATAAATAGAGAAGAGAGAAAAGATGACAGCAGTAACATCCACCTCTGTCTGTTACAGATCCAGGGGTCGGCGCACTCCAATGTGACCTACGATCTTTTCATCATGGTGGAACTTGGAGGCCTTCAGCACAGGAAATACCTGATTAAGTTCTCCATGAAGAAATGCTCCGGGAGGAAGTGTGGCCGGACTTATGACGCCGAAGGGGTTTCGTTCGAGAGACACAACATCTGTGACTGGATGAAAACGGGGAGGAGGCTCCTGCCTGTTATGAATGAGTGTTACATGCTGATGTTTGACCAGGATACAAATCTACTGCACAGCATCACTTATCTGTAAGAATCTACAGATTATGTTGCACCGCATGCCGATATACTGAAGTATATTTATCATTTCAAAATGCTTTTCCCTCATGTCAATGTAACTCTCTGAACTTTTACCTCTATGTCGTCCTCGGCAGGCCAGAAAAAAGGAGAGTAATGGTGACGCAGGATTTCTGGGAATACCACGCAAATGGAGATATAAAAGCAGGGCCCATCTCCGATAACTACGTCTTCAGCGCCAACGGGTCAGCCGTGCAGGCGTACGAGGCTGTGGAGCTGGAGATCATCCCCGGGAAGATTGTGACCGAGATCCGGCAGCGCTTCTATAGGTGGGTACGGTGAACCAGTTTGTCGTGCGGTAAAAATGAACCCGAACTGTGACACTCTTTCTCACAATCTGACATATTGCATCGTCTAGAGAGAAAAGCGATAAAGACTACGCCTACTCCATCACCACCCGAGTCCCAGAATGCTTTGGGAGCAGACCGCGGTGCCACAGGCTGGAGCAGACCTATTCGCTGGGGCCCCTCCGTCTCAACACGGAGGTCGTCCTCAGGACCAGCTCCTCCTTGAAGAACAACAGGACCCTGTACACAGACGACAACGGCTATCAGATGATGGAGAGGAGATACAGGAAGTACACCAACAACACTTTAGCAAGAGTAAGTACCTGGATTTCTAGAAGAAAAACACAGGTTTTACTATAGAATAATATAAAAATAAATAAATAAATAAAAATAAATAAATTAAAA